AACAACTCATTTATAACAGAAGTGATCTGGGCAAAGCCCTGCTCCTGAGGACTGGGGAGCTTCCCCAAAGATCCAAAGGCCACATGCTTATAGTTCTGTGGGAAGCAGACATGGGGGTTCTCCAGATCAACCATGTTACATATTGTTTTCCCTAATAGATTGTAAACTCCTTGAGGGTTGAGGCGGTTTCATTTTCATTTCTGTATCTCAGAAGAGTACCTGGCATACAGTAGGAACTTAATAAGTGCTTGCTTGATTTTCCTTCCTTCTGGTATCTCTTTATTTCAATACTTTTAGGATCTGTGACTTTGTTGATGTGGGTCCTTCTTCCACTGATAGAGAGAACAGTGCCTGGCCTTTGATAAGCACTTAATAGATGCTGACTGGCTACAATTCTTCTACTTGGTAGTTAGGATCTGAGAATTGTGGTTGAAAAAATTTACAACAAAATCACAGATCTTTCCAGGTTTCAAAGAAGGGGACCATGATTCATCATACTCCCTAGACTAAGCGGGGCTCTTTTTACAGACATACATGTGGCTAATCTATCAAAGGGGTTGTTCTTTTTTTTTTTTTCTTTTTTTCTTTAGGCAATTGGGGTTAAGTGACTTGCCCAGGGTCACACAGCTAGTAAGTGTCAAATGTTTGGTCTGAGGCTGGATTTGAACTCAGGTCCTACTGACTTCAGGGCCGGGTGCGCTATCCACTGCACCACCTAGCTGCCCCTCTGCTCGTTTATAAAGAGGAATAATACAGCAGGGAAGAGCTGGGCTCGTGTTCACATGTCACCTTGACCTCTGCCGCAATGCATTCCTCTGGACCCCCATGCACCCCTCAGCATGTCAGCTCCAGGAGGGCTTAGGACATGCTGTTTCTGTCTTTTTATCTCCAGAGCTTAGAACAGTGACTTATGCTCTAGAGACAGAATAATAATAATAACAACAACAACAGTTAGCATTTCTATAGCACTTTAAGTGTGCAAAGTGCTTTGCACATGTGATCTCATTTGGTCTTCACAACAACCCTGGGAGGGAGGTGTAATTATTATCTCTGTTTGACAAATGAGGAGAGTTAAGTGACTTGCCCAGGGTCACACAGCTAGCAAGTGTCTGAGGCTAGATTTCCTGACTCTCAGTGTTCTATGCACTATATCATGCAGCTACGATTTAGTACAGTGGCAAGGACACTGCCTCTGGAGTCAGAGGGCCTGGGTTCAAATCCTACCTCTGATGTATTCTGTGACCTTGGACAAATTGGCCTCTCCAGGCCAACCCGTCCTCACTTATAAAATGAGAGGGGCTGGACTTGATTAACTTTGAGGTCTCTTCTAGATCCATGCTCCAAATAGCAGGATCTTAAATTTATTTATTATGTTTTTTAAATGTTGATTGAATTAATGCTGCCTGATCTGTGAGCTGGATCCTAGAGGAGAGATTCAGACTGAAGCAGATCTGGGAAAGAGGAATGACTTTATTCCAATGATCACCACACCATGATTGTCAAAAAAAATTCAAATGCACTAAGTTGTCATGGTGGGGTAGGGACCAGAAAGAGGTGGTGGGTTGAAACGGATGTTATCCTAACTACAGGGAAAAAAATATCTAAAAAGAAGAAAAAGTCTCTCCAGTTTTATAGGCTCAATAGGTAGAAGGGACTTTAGAGGTCATCTAGTCTATGAAACTGAGGCTCAGAAAAAGGGAAATGGCATTCCTAAGGTCATACCAATAACAAAGCAGCAGAGCTAGACCTCGGGCTTGTGACTTTAAAACCTGTGCTTTTTTTTTTTTTTTAAACTACACCACACTGTGGCTGATGCTGTAAGCCGAGATTATTAAGTGATGGCAAATGCCCTCATTTCTAATGTGTTCCCTTGATCTGTTAAGAACATAAGAAATACCATATTAGAATTGTATATCCTGGTCAATGGTACAGGCTGAAAATAACAACGGATTAAAACAGGGTTTAGAGAATAGACTCATCCCCCACTAAAGCTCTCCTTCTCTGATGCCTCATTGTCATGTAGAGGTGACCCTAGCCCATTCTAGGGAAGTACAGGTTCTAGTAGGCTGTACCAAACTGGAAGAGGTGGTCATAGATAGTGTGTCTGTCACCTGAAGACCAGCCCAGATTAAAGATTAAAGATGGTCACCAGGGGATGCATATAATAATAATTTGTTGCTATTGTTCAGTCATTCTCAGTCATGTCTGATTCTGACTTCATGACTCCATTTAGGATTTTCTTGGCAGAGATACTGGAGTGGTTTGCCATTTCCTTCTCCAGCTCATTTTTCAAATAAAGAAACTGAGGCAAACAGGATTAAGTGATTTACGCAGGGTCACACAGCTAGTATATGTCTGAGGCCAGATTAGATGAATCTTCCTGATTCCAAGCCCAGGTCTCTACCTACTGCACCCATTCTACCTAACTGCCCCATAATAATACTAATAGCATTTATATAGCACCTTCTATGTGCCAGGCACTGTGTTAAGTGCTTTACAAATATTACTTCATTTGATCCTCACAACAACTCTAGGAGGTAGATACTATTATTATCCCAGTTTTATAGATGAGGAAACTGAGGCAGAGAGAGATTACATGACCTGTCTAAGGTCACGCATTTGAACTCAGGTCTTCCTGAAGCCAGGCCCAGCACTCTATCCATTGCTCCATCTATCTGTTTTACATATTTTTGGGTCACAGTCACTACCGAAACATGGACGGAGCCCCAAAAGCAGATCTTTCCGAGTACTGAAGAAGGGAGCCATAATTAAACGACTTGAGTTTAATTGAGCAGGGATGATTTCATCTTTGTTTTTATGTCCCCAGTGCATTGCATAGTGCCTCACACATAGTAGGCACTTAATAACTCTAATCATGGAGAATGACATTCAAATCAACTCAATAAAAGCAAAAGATTCTGTGCCAGGTGCTGAGGATATAAAGATATCTCTGGCATGGACTTTAATTGAGGGGCCAACAATCTAATTGGGGGTTAAATAAATATAACCGGGAGCAAGGTGGCACATTGGATAGAATGCCAGGCTTAGAGTCAGGAAGCTTCTTCTTCCTGAGTTTAAATCTGGCTTCAGACACTTACTAGCTATGTGACCCTGGGCAAGTCACTTAACCCAGTTTGCCTCAGTTTCCTCATCTGTAAAAAAAAAAATGGGCCAGAGAAAGAATTGGCAAACCATTCCAGTATCTTTACAAAGAAAACCCCAAATGGGGTCACGGAAGAGTTGGACAAACTAAAGCTACTCAACAACAACAAATGTAAGTAACTATGATTACACAAGGGATGAGCAAGTGAAGAATGAACGAATAAATGAATGAATGAATGAATGAATGAATGAACGAATGAATGAATGAATAAATAAATAAATGTGAGGTCCAGGTGAAATGCCCTCAGAAATTTGAGGGGAGAAAATCAATTAGTTGATTGAAAAGCATCTATTAGTTGCTTACTATGTGCTAGGCATAATAATTTTCATCTAAAGGGAATCAGAAAAGTGGTCACTTGAAGGGAGGAACATTAAAAAGGCAACCCTGCTCTCCTATAATAGGTTGCTTGGTTTCCCTATTATCAACAGAAAACTAGAAGCCCAATGTTCTGACAGTGGTACCAAAGAGCTTTTGGCTCCAATGAGGAAAGGAGGAAGACTTGTTGCAAAGGGAAACTAAGGGAAGGTCCAAAAAAACCATGCTGACAACTTAGATTCTAACCGTTTTGTTATCTAATACTTTTTGTTAGAAGGATATGCCAATTCCCCCATGTCCCACTTCCTTGGTAGACTACTTAGTTGTGTGTTGGGAAGACTGGGTGGCTGAGTGGCCCACAGGTCTCTACTATGAATGTCAAACACTCAGCCCATGCTTCACATGCTACCCATAACATGCCATAGAAGGCATTCTATTAATGCTAGCTATCACCATCATCATCATCATCATCATCGTCATCATCTTCTGTGTCCCCTGCTGGCCATCTTTCATCCAGGCTGGTCCTCAGATGACAGACTAGTACCATTCTTGTAACTCTTCTAGTAGGTTGGAATACAACCTACTAGAACACACACCTCACTGGAATAGTTTCCAAAAACCCAAAACCCAGGTGAACCAGATTAAGATGTGATTTGAATTACAGATATTATTTACAGATTTAATTACAAATATTAAACATAGATAACATTTCATTTTAAATCAAAGTCAATATGCTGCCCACAGGTATCCTTATGTACAGATGAGCAGCCCAGTTTCTATTTGAGTTTGACCCTACTGCTCGCTTTTTAATACTTATAAGATTGTAAGCTCTTTGAGGGCAGGGAGCTGTATTATTTACAATTAAAGACTTCCCAGAGTTGTTTAGGAAGTTAAGATACTTGGGTTCCAATCCTGACTTTGGCATTTATTTGCTATAAAACCTTAGGAAACTCAGTTTCCTCAGCTGTAAAATGGGAATATAATACTTATCCTACCCACTTCATGGAGTTATGTGAAAAGAAAGCATTTTGTGCTTTTCAAAATACTATAGAGATGTAAACCATTATTACGGAATGAATCAAATGAATGTTTACTGAATGAGCCCTCTTAGTCCAGATGAATGAATAAATATTTATTGACTGAATCCTACCAGTGCAGTATTTTCTCCATTATTTTTCAACACTGCTCTCTGCCTGGCTCCTTCTCTCCAGTATATCAAGGTGTTGTAGTGTCATGGAAAGACAATTGGGCTAGGAGGCTGAAAGAGCTGGGTTTGATTCTTGGTTTTGTTACTTATAATCTATGTGACCTTGGGTAAATTACTTAACCTCTAAGGGTCTCAGTTTCCTCCTTCGTTAAATGAGGGGGTTTGAGTAGATGATCTCTCTGGTCCCTTTAAAGAAAAATGCCTCCTTTGCCCTTCTTCCTTTCCCTACTATCTGTGTGTGTGTGTGTGTGTGTGTGTGTGTGTGTGTGTGTGAGATAGGGCTACCCCTCAGAAAGCAGAACCTTAATCTCTTACCTTCTCCCAGCTGCAGAGCTGGGTCCATCAGTTCCATCATGTATTCAACATTCAGAAGCATTTCTGTGAGGTTGCTACGGGCGAGGACGTACATGAGGACTGGAAGAAAGTCATCGGCTCCATAGGGTTTCCCTGTACAAAGGAAGTAACTGATGGTGAAAAGTTGGCTCTTTACAGCTCACACTGTTCTGGAAGAGTAGTCACATTCCTGACCAAAGCTCCTGGGTGAGGTAGAATCCTGGTCTTCCTGGCTCCAAGGCCTGCCGTTTATTCACTACAGTGCCTCTACACTTAATTTAACAGCATTTAATTGGGTTAAGATTCCCTCTTGGTGGGAAATGGGTCCTTTTCAAATGCAAACACGTGGTCTGTGTAACACAGTGAGTTGCCTATTCCTTACTGTACTTTCACAGGAGAGACCCAGAACAGCAAAAAGATACAGGAACCAGGGAATGGGATCGGGAGGGCTATCGTTAGGGTGAAGAAAGGGTTCAGAAATAATAAGTGAAGGACTGTCAACAAATTGCAAAAAAATTTTCTACTAGATTTCCTTACTATGACCCTACTCGTCAATACTTTTTATCCATCAGAAACTTGGACTTCATACCTCCACATTCCCCACTACTCCATCCCCACATAGGTAAGTGTTAACTTTATCTTGCAAGGATCCAGGCCTAGGAGCAAGGATTTGCTGGTAAAAATTTAACAACCAACTTTCTACCTAAAGGTATGACATACTTTTAAGTTTAATCTTTATTACCATTTTCTCCATCACTTTCTTAAATCTAGACAATGAACAAAACAATAAATCAAACTCTGATTTGTAGTGTTTGTCAATTTTTGAGGTGTACATACTCATACTATGTACAAAACTCATACTGAAAATTTAACACCTGGCTCTCTAAACCAGTACAAGCTGGCTCCCGCATACTTCTGCAGCGTCCTCCTGGTGGTCTTCTTACCATGTTCCTTCTGGGTATTCTCCTATTTCTTCCCTCCACCCCACTCCCCAACTCCTTCCAGCTATCTTTTACGCTTGTCTTCCTCCACTAGAATGGAAGCTTCTTGAGGGTAGGAACTATCTAGTTTGCTTATATTTGTACCTCTAGACTTAGCACAATGCCTGGCACATGGTAAGTGCTGAATAACCATTTCTCTGTCTGTCTGTCTGTCTGTCTCTCAGCCCCCTGAGGCCAGGGACCATGTATTTATATATAAAGTCTTTGTATCCCCTAGAACTCATAGCAAAGGGTTCTGCAAATAGTAGGTGCTTAGTAATTGTTTGTTGAATGAATTAATTCTGCCCCAAATAATTGGAGGCAAAAAAAAAAAAAAAGGAATGAGCACTGGGTTTAGAGGTATCAGACCTGGATTTGATTACCGGCTCTTTTATTCATTATCTTTTCAAACTTGGGAAAACATTTAAACTCTTAGAGTCTGAATTTCATTACTTTTCTTTCCTTTGGTGAGGCAATTGGGATTAAGTGTCTTGCCCAGGGTCACATACCTAGTAAGTGTCTGAGGTCACAGTTGAACTCAGGTCCTCCTGACTCCAGGGCGGGTACTGTATCCACTGCGCCACCTAGCTGCCCCTCATTATTTTTCTAAGAAGGTTAGATTAGGTGGTCTTTAAGGTTCCTTCCAACTCCAAAATTCTATGATCCTTTCAGCAACATTCAATAGTGGATTAGAACCTTGGGAAAAAGAATGGTTTGCACTATGTCTCGCTCCTTCTTGAGTGACATGCAGGCCTTTGGGTGAGAAAGGCCCTCTCTGAGTTTTCCTGGATGCAGTGTGCCTCCTCCCAGCTTAATACTTAGGTCTTTGTCCTATCTGTATAAACCTGACGAAGCCCTATTACTGGGAAGGCCTTGTTATAAACCTTTTGTTAACCCTATAGCTCAATTTAAACATTATTGGGAGAAGATCATATGAATTAAGAGTTGGGAGAGGCATTAAGAGATTCTCCAATATAATCCTCTCTTTTGACTGATTGGGAAATTGGGGTCTAGAGAAATCAAGTGACTTATTCAAAGTCATAAGGAAGCAGAGGTCAGTAAACTGCGAATTTGAATCCAAATCCTATGACTTCTATGGTACCTCCTTCCCACTTGGTTGTTTTACATATAATTATTTTAATTACTAGAGCCCTGGCATGTGGGGGATTTTTAAAAATTAACACAATTTAAAAAAAAATTATGAGTTTGGCAGTAGGGAAAGCTTAGATATAAAACTCATTTTGATTCCATGCGGTATGCACCTATAACTCATATACTGCTTTAGATCCAATTGAATTTTTAATGTTTCCATGAACATAAAATTTGTGGGTGTGATATGAAAAATTTACCAAGGAAAATGCACCAGATGAGTTATTCGGTTCTCAGGGATGATACCCCTAGAGGGGTGGCCAAGGTTGGATATCTGGCTTTGATTCTTTCCATTCCATTACTTAAAACCAGGGTTTCCCAAGCTAGGGTAAGGAATGGGGTGTGTCAGGGGGGAAGGGAGTAGCAGCTCTGCCCTCCCTCCCTGGCCATGGGAGAACCAGGAAGCTAGCAGGCGGGGTGCTCCTTGCTTACCTCTCCCTTATCTGAACTCCAATGTCACTTATTATCTGTGCCATTCATTTTGCACACATCATTATCACTTTGAGACCTTGCTTTTCACTCTATATGCAAGTCTCGTTTTTTGAGCTAGACTGTAATACCTGGAAGGCAAGGAATGTGCCTCAGACTTCTGTGTATCCTCAGATGCTTACAACAATGCCTGCTCACAGTAGGTGTTCAATAAATGTTGATGGTGATAAAAATGGGGATCCTAATATTTGCAAGTACCTACTCATAGCATTTTTATAAAAAGAAAACAAGTATGGAAGTAATCTACAAGGTTAATAATGCTATTTAGATGCATAGGATTATTATTAATGTAAGATAGCGGGTAGCTAGGTGGCACAGTAGATAGAACACTGTGCCTGGGGTCAGGAAGATCTGAGCTCAAATTGGACCTCAGACACTTACTAGCTGTGTGACCTTGGACAAGTCATTTAACTCTGTCTCAGTTTCCTTATTAGTAAAATGAGTTGGAGAAGGAAATGGCAAACCACTCCAGTATCTTTGCCAAGAAAACCCCAAATGGGGTCATGAAGAGTTGGACATGAATGAAATGAATGGACAACAAAGAGAATAGAGCCTTGATCCCAGCATTTTGAAATTCCATATATCTGAAATCCTCTGAGATGTTCAAACATACCTCTGGACAGTTGGAGGTTTACTCTTTCAAGCACCAACATTTACGAAGTTTAAAGCATTTTGCACAGAATGTTAAAACATAGACAGAGAATTTTAGAATTGGAAGGGACAACAGAACACAGCATTAGAACTGGGAGGAACACTGATTAGAACACGGATATTCGAATAGGAAGTTTAGAAGTTTAGAACATAGAACACAGAATTTCAGAGCTGGAAGAGACTGTAGAAATCCTCTAGACCCCATGCCAGTTGGGGGATCAGCCCAGAGAGAGTGCTGCACAGAAATATAGACAAGATGCTCCAGGCTCATGCCCTTGACAGGTAAAGGTGCCTAAGCTGAAACCTGACTACTTTATTATAATAAGCTCATTTCCTCTTAGGCCTTCCTTTTTTGGGGGGGCGGGGAGGGAAGGCAATAGGGTTAACTTGCCCAGGGTCACACAGCTAGTTAAGTATCAAGTGTCTGGAGTCAGGATTTGAACTCAGGTCCTCCTGAATCCAGGGCCGGTGGTGGTTCATTGTGCCACCTAGTTGCCCCTTAGGCCTTCCTCTTAAGAAATGCAAAGCAACTTCCCACCCCTGATTCTGTTGAAGCAGGGAGACCATTTAGGAGCTATGTATGTGACAGGCACAATTCGGGATGAAAGCGTGTTCTCACTCGTTTCCCATCAGCCTAAGATTTCCTTTTTCTCAGGCCCCTGACAATGTAATTCTGGGTAAGCCCCCTGATGTGGGGGTCTCCAGCCTGGATTTCCAGATTCTTTTTGCTTTCCTTCTGCAAAGTTATGCCTGTTTCCCATGGCTGTAGCTGATCAAATTTTAAAGAGATGGCCTGCAGTATTTATGAATACTTTATGGGCTGAAAAAGTTCTCAACAAGATGGGCCAAGTTAAGGCAGAGTTAAGCTGGAAAATAGTCAGCAGCTCTCATTCAGGATGTGCTGGGCCTATCCTCCGTTGTTGTTTAGTCCTTTCCAATCATGTCTGATTCTTTGTGTCTTCTTCTGGGGTTTTCTTGGCAGAAATACTGGAATGTTTTGCCATTTCCTTCTCCAGCTGATTTTTCAGATGAGGAAACTGAGGCAAACAGGGTGAAGGGACTCACCCAGGGTCACACAGCTAGCAAGTGTCTGAACCTGGATTTAAACTTCAAGTCTTCCTGACTCTAGGCCTGGCACTCTATCCACTGCACCACCCATACTCTATCTATATCAATCAATTGGCAAGCATTTATTAAGTACTTTATCAAATCAATAACATTTCATATGTGCTAAGATGGTTTGAGTTTTCACAAAGCACCTTTTCTTCCATTTAAAAATTTTCCCATGCCTTCTGGCACTTTTAGGATTTTTTAACTTAAGTAGTGTTCAAACCCTATCTAGTCTCAAAGCAGACCGCAGGGCAAGGTCAGTTTCTCCCTGATTTTTATGTCCCATCTAATATATAACACCCCCAACTGAATTCAGTACTCAAGATATGATCTGACTAGGACAAATGAGAGTGGGACAATTGCATCCTTCTGTTGTAGGATACTTTTTATCATTAGAGAGGTTTTTTTCAAGTATCATACAGGTCTGTTATTACATTATATAATAATTAGATATTTAATATATGTAATATATAACATAATATATGTGCTATTGTGTAATAAATTATATAATACTAATTATTATTATTGAGTTGATATTTTTCTGTCTGTAACCTCCATCTCTTGTGATGAATATACTTGTAATGAGAACAGAAAAGATGGAATGGATGAGAGGTGTTGCCAAGGTAGGGTGCATAAAACTTAGTAATTGATTGGATATAAGAGGTGAGGGAAGAGGTCAGAGATAACCCCAAAGTTTCAAACCGGGAGACAGGATGAATGTTGGTGCTACCAGCA